GCGTGGTGGAGAAGGAGGTGCAGGTGGATGAGCTGCAGAGACTCCTGGCAGGGATGGAGAAGGTACCGGCCCTGCGGCCACGGTGGGGCTGACAGGATCAGCGGAGCTGCCTGGTATTGCTCAGCTTGGGGGGGGGGGAATGGAAAAGCCCAGTGGTGATGAGTTTGGCAGTGCTCAGCGCAGACCCCCGTGGCAGGTCTTGGACTGGCTGCAGGCTACCCACCGTGTGGAGGGTTTGACTTCCCAGCCAGGTTTAACCCGACAGCAGCAGGCAAAGCCAGCTGCTGGGAACGGCTGCAAATCGGCTGTTGCTGATTTAAACTTGCATTTCTCAGGTCTAGAAGATCTGGTCGGTCTGTGAAAACTCTTCCAGGTATCCTGGAAACAAGCACGCAGTCTAGACAGCCGCGCGGTCGTTCTTCTCATGGGGGCGGTAACACAACCTCCAGCCTTGATTATACTTTTTTTCAGCTGTGGCCTGCTCATAATACTATTAAAAGTCATAAATCTGCCAGTGCAGTATGAGCACGGGGTGACCTGGGACTGCATTCCCTGGCCTGACCGCGGGGTGCCTTGCCTGTATCCTAGGGGTAAAGGAGTGGGATGTCTGCTGTCGGTCATCTCTGTGGCTGCCCTTGTCTGTCTGTCTCTCACATGTAAATGTAATGCTCGTGAAAGCAACCCGCAGATGGAGCGGGGAGGCTGAGCTGAGCCCGCCCGGCTCCCTGGGTGTTTGTAGTTCCCTGCTGCGCAGCGGAGGCCGAGGAGCATGTGTTGCGACTTGTTTCCCTGCGTGTAACTCGGCCTCTCGCTCTGCCGCAGGAGCACAGGAGTTTGCTGCTGAAGATGAAAGAAGGCGAAGCAGAGCTGGCGAGGCTGAGGAGCGTGGAAGGTGACAAGCTCGCCGAACAAGACCGGTGAGGCTCGGCCTGGGGCTCGGCTGCCAACTCCGGAGCAAGCCCACGCCGCTGGGTCGGGGTGTCAGCTCGCTGGGGCATGACTGCACATTCCTGCGAAGGGCGTGCTTGCTCTCTGGCTTGCAAAACAGCTCCCTGCTCCCCAGAGCTGACTAATCTCCAAATACCTCCTGCAGTTTTGCTTTGCTCCGAGAGACCCGGAGCTCCGGAGATGGGCTGCCCGGAGACCTCTGGCGGCCCCGCTGCCGGCTGGGAGCTCGGGGCAGCCGATTCTCCCTGTAAGGTCGGACGCATTCCACCCAGCCGGTATCCCTGTGCTCCAGGGGCTAATTGGCAGTGGCTTGTTTCTGGAAGGCCTTGTTTGTGGGCCCGACTCTTCCTGATGTTCCTGTGTCCCTGCAGTCTGTGGTTACTTGTCTTTGTGGCTCCTGCTTGAATAGTTTTTGTCTCTGCCTCTCCTTACCTCACCTAGTCTAAATATTTCAAGACCTGTGGCGGCTGTAGAGGAGACCCGGCTGATAGAAAGCTGCTCTGGGCATAGCTGGGTGGGTGCTCCCTGTCTGGGAAGCTGTCCGATGGCTCCTGGACTCTGTCCTCTCCTTTTCCCAGGTCAGCCCAGCTGGAGAAGGAGGTGGCCATGCTGCGGGAGAAGATTCACCATCTGGACGACATGCTGAAAAGCCAGCAGCGCAAAGTCCGCCAGATGATTGAGCAGGTGAGAGGCGCGGGGCTGGGCTGGGAGGACTCGGAGGGGACTTCAAAAAAAGAGAAAGGAGTGGGGGAAAACAAAAAAAAATCTCATAAGCTTCTTGGAAGCAAAGAATTGGTAGTTTGTGGGGCTGAATCCCTTTGCAAACCAAAGGGACACAAGTTCAAAGGCAGCCTGGAGCCCTGTCCTGCAGTGGGGACAGCCCAGAGGGCTGTGGCGTGAGCTGCCCTGGGCCAGGGAGGGTGACAGAAGGAGCATAAAAGCAGTGTTGTGTGCCTAGCTTGGCTTGCTGAAAGGGTTGACTCTCACACTGTGTGAGTGAGCAGGGGCTCCTTCACCGGGGGGGCTTAATTTGCAGACTTAATTTGAGGCTTTTTTGATTGTTTTTTATGCAGACCTTGGAGTTAATGTTGTAGGTGTTAGCCGGCAGAAAGGTGTCTGGCTAAGCTGCTCTCCTGCCTCGACGTTTCTCCAGCCACGCACGAGAGGGATTTTCAGCTGCTGTGAACTTTTCTCTTACAGCTCCAGAACTCCAAAACGGTGATTCAGGCCAAGGATGCCGTGATCCAGGAGCTGAAGGAGAGAGTCGCTTACTTGGAGGCTGAGGTGCGTCTTAGCGGGGCCGTTGCAGGGCGCGCACGGGGTCTGCTCCGAGCCCAGCCCCTCGTGGTGTGACTGGTCCGTGGGTGCCTGCGGGCCGTGGCTGGGCCATGAGCTTTGCTCTGGGCAGCGCGGCCGGCAGCAAAGCCCTTCCCTGGCACCGACACCTGCTCCCCGTAGGAAAATGTGCCCTCCGCAGCGCCCAGGGCTCTGCTGGTTCCCCGAGCTGGTGTGATGGTTTCCAGTGCTGCCGGGGTTGCTGGAGCAGCTGTGAACTCAAGCGGAGTCCAAAATAATCTCATCACACGCATTTCTCTGGCAGCAAACCCCTTCTCGCTTACAAAGCTGCAGCTGAATCCGTGCGTGTCAGAAATTAAAATTGCATTCCAGCCTCTAGGATTGTAACAAGTGTCAAACCTCTCTCCTTTTTTGGAGAAAAACTGAGCCTGCATTGGCATTCCCAGTGTTTTCTTCCCTCCTGAGTGGCTTATTTTGCTAATTTGTGCATGGGGACGGTACGTGTGAGCGCAGCCAGCTGTGAACCCAGGCAGAAAACATCCAGTGAGAGAGATTTGTGTGCTGGTGGGTTTCTGTGTTGGGTGTTCAGCAGGTCTTACAGCCCACCCCAGCTCTCCTTTGGTGAGCGGTCCCTATGTAGGGCGGAATTTCATTTCCCTCAGTAAAAAAACTGCCCCACGGCAAGCGATTATACTGGAGCGTTCCTCAGCACGCGATCCGTGTGCCCACAGCTTGGCTGCCCGTCGCTAACCATGGCTCCATCTCTTGCAGAACCTGGAGATGCACGACCGCATAGAGCACTTGATTGAGAAGCAGGTCAGCCGGGGCGGCCACAGCTCCCGAGCGCGCTCCAAGTCGGAGTACGTGAGCAGGTACGTGGGGAGCACGTACCCTCCAGCCTGCCCGGCCGCTCAGCACCTTCATCTGCAGGTCCACGTCTTGCCCAGGGCAGCGGGAGCTGCAGTCCAGGAGGAGGTGCTGCACTCGGGGATGCTCTTCTGGACGTGTATTGTAGCACTGTCTGTTTGCAGAGAGGTCTCCATTCCTGGGTTCCTCCTTCAGGGGAGCAGAGGTCCCTCCTGTGGGCAGTTCTGGGGGGGAGCCATCACCGACCAGGGCTGGGGCAGGACCCTCTCCCCACAGGTTTTCCCCCTAAGCCCCCCATCCAGTTTATCTGGCCAAACAAACCCTTTCTCTCTTGCAGCAAAAGGCTGACGGGCCCCAAGCCGCTGCCTCTCATTCGAGTAGTGGAAACATGAGTTTCGAGGGCTGGTCCGAGCTGAAGACTCTCCCCTTGTTATCGTTGACTGGATTTCCCTGCTTGGCTGCCGTCCTCTGGCCTCTGTGCTCCCGGAGGCTCCCCGGAGCCGTCGGCGGAGGGCTGTGCCCTGGAGAACTGCGGCAGCCGAGGACAGACGTAGCCGGGGCGGTCCTGGCAGAGGAAGGAGGTTTGCGAAGCGTCCACGTTGCTGTCCCCACTGGGTCCCAAGGTCACACGGATGCCAGTTTTGGAGGCTGGGACCAGCCGGCCCCGGCGTGGACAAGGTGGCTTCTCTGGGTGGAGAGCCAGGCTCGCTTTCCCTGGTCAGTCCTGGGTTTGCCGGGGTTGCTCTGCAAGAGCAGCCTTTGCTTCTGAAGGGCCTCGTCCGACCAGAGCCCCCCCTTCAGCTTGCAGCTTGCCAACGTGGACTTGGGGGTTTAACCTTTTTCTGGTTAAAAATTTAAAACAAAAAAGAAGATTCACTCTTACAAAGAAGAAATAAATCCTCCTGAAACTGGACTCCTTCCTACAACAAAGCCCAATGCGTGACAAGTTGGGAGCCTCCACCTCCGATCTCCAGCACATATCTGGCTGCTCCAGACTTGGCAAAGGCTCATGTGGCCAAAAATCAGTGTATCACCGTGCTTTTCCCAAGAGCGTAGAGAAATTGTACCCGACGTACATGTAGTGTTTAAACCAGAGGCTGTTTGGTTTGTTACCTGTATTTATTTCAATAAATTATTGGTGTCTTCCAATGATGTGGTGACAGGCACGATTGCTGCTGTCCACCTCCACGGGAGCACAGTTGAGGACTGCCTGTCCCACGTTTGAACTGGAAAATACCAACCAGCTTCCTCTGGGCTTGCGCGTCCTGACCTGTCTTGTGTGCGCCCGCGCTTGGGAAAGGAGCTTGGCTACAGCTCGAGGGAAGTCGCTGGCGTTCGTACTGACCGCGTTAATCCCAAAATACACGTGCCTTAATCCCTCCGCCTGAAGTTGATTAAACAGGCGTGAGCGGGGGGAGCGTTGGGGCTGCGCTGGCTGGGCTCCTTGCTTCTCCAGCTGGCTGTGCGCAACCTTCTTTTCTCTTTTTTTGTTTTTTTTTCCTTGCTGGCGGGTCACGCGTGCTGAGCCGAGCCCGGTGCTGCCGGCGCAGGCTCCGGGGGCTCGGCTGGGTCGGGTCCGTCTCCACCCGGCCAGGCCCCAGACCCGGAGCTCCCACAGCCCCCAGGGCTCTGGGCCGCAGCTGGCGCCATTTCGGTGCCTCTGAGGGGAAGGCGGTGAAGCGGGAGTAGGTTCCCCCCCGCGCTGAGGCCTCTCCGCCACCTCCTGAGGCTGCTTGACGTCACAGCTATGACATCACCCCGTTGCCGCGGCGACGCTCCCGCTCCCGGACTACCTTTCCCAGCGCCCCCCGCGCCCGCGGGGAGGGGAACTACACTTCCCGTCGCCCCTCGCGGCGCCGCGCTGGGCGGCGCCCTACGGCGGCCGGCGCGGCGGTCGCGTGACGGGCCGGCCGGGCGCTGCTCGCCAAGATGGCGGACGAGGAGGGCGAAGGGCCGCCGCGCTCGGCCGCCGCGCCGCACCGGAACGGCGGCGGTGAGGGGGCCCCGGCGGGGCCGGGCGGCCCCCGCGTGGTCCGCATCGTCAAGTCGGAGTCCGGTTACGGCTTCAACGTGCGCGGCCAAGTGAGCGAGGGCGGCCAGCTGCGGAGCATCAACGGCGAGCTGTACGCCCCGCTGCAGCATGTCAGCGCCGTGCTGGGCGGCGGGGCGGCCGACCGCGCCGGGGTGCGCAAGGGGGACCGCATCCTGGAGGTGTGAGTACGGGGGGGCCGCCGCCCCGCTGCCGCCCGCCCTGCCCGCCCCGCCGCGGGGAGGCCGGGGGGTTTGGGGGGGGTCCCCGGGGGGAGGGCGGGTGAGCCTCGCTGGGGGCTTGGGGTGGCCTTGTTGGGGGAGGCGTGAGGGGAGGCTCGGAGAGGGGCTTGTGGGGAGCTGGGCCAGCTGCCCCTCTTTGGGGAAGAGGGGGAGCTTATGGGGGCGGCTGCACCCCCCCGGGGGCTGGTTTGGTTTCCTGTCAGCGGGGGCTTTGGGGGCGCCCCCGGGGGAGGTTCCCCTGAGGAGCTGTGTTGGTCTGCCCAGATGCTTTGGGGATCCCTGATGAGGGGGCCTGGTCTGCCCTTCTCTCACTGGGAGCTTGGAGGAGCCCTTACAGGGGGGGCCGGTCCAGGTTCCTCTCGCTGGGGGGTCCTTAGGGAGTCTGGCTTCCCCTCCCCGGGGGCTGCGGGGGCCCCTTCTGAGGGGTCTGGGCCAGCGTCTCATCCCTGGGAACCCCTTTATGCAAGGAGAGGGGTGGGCTGCCCTCATCCTCTCGGTGAGAGTTTTAGGGTCCCTGTTTTTATAGGAAGCTGTGGACCAGCATCTTCCTCCCTGGGGGCTCTGGGGGATCCCTTTGGGGCTGGAGGGACACAGTGTCCATCTCCTTGAAGGCGAGGCACTCATTTTTTTAGGGGGTTCATTAGCGGATCCCCTTCGTTGTGGAGTTTGTAGAGGGTTTGAGAGTCACAGCCTCAGGAAAGGGTCCCTCCCTTGAAGGATGAATCGGGGGTCCCTTTCATCAGCTCATTCCTGGGGAGATTCTCCCCTCATTTTTGTTTTTGGGGGCATCCCTGGGATTGCAGAGCAGGAAGGGCTCACAGGCTGCAGAAATACCTGTAGGAGCCACGTCCACAGATCTGCCTCCCCGCCTGGGAAGGAGCTGGTGGAAGAGGGTGGCCGTGGTGGGGAATTTGTGTGGGGAGGCCTGTTGCTCCTGGAGAAAAGCTGTTCCTGGGAGAGGTCTGTGGTAAAGTGGGGAAGTAGGTTAGGAGATGTGAAAGGAGGTGGCTGGAAGGAAGGGGGAGCCCACCCTGAGAAAGTGTTAGGGGAGGAGGGCAGGATGAAGGGCCCAGAGCTGGCAGAAACTGGTGCTGAGCTGGGTGAGCTCATGGGTGCCCTCGCAGAGAGTTGGGGGGGGCGCCGGGACGAGGTGTGCGAGATGCAAACCCTCCTCTGGTGAGCGGGACCCTCGGTCTTCAACCTGGAGACCTTCCTGGGGAGGGCAGGGGGATGCTTGCGGAGGGAGGAGGAGGAGGAGGAGATCTGACCTGGCAGGATTGCTGCTGCAGGCCCGGCGGGGCAAGGATGGGGCCCACAAACCCCCACTTTGGGGCTGGTGGCCTGCCTTCCCCTCCCCGCAGGCGCGCCGCTCTGCAGACGGCAGCGGAGATGGAAGCGGGCGCTCAGGGATGCTTGGCTTTTGCTTCTCTCAGTCACTGGGACCATGGGTTGTCCAGGGCTGGGCGGTAGCTGTTTCTCGACAGCAAGAATTGTAACGTGAGCCTGAAAATATCTTTCCATGGGAATGCTTCAGCTGTGCTGAAACTGATCTTTCCTGCTCCCCCTCCCCACCCCTACCCCCCCAAAAAAAAACAAACCTTAAACTTTCAGCTCATGTTTGTAGACTGACATTGGTTAAATCTCTTCAAGGGCTTTCTGTAGCCTCAGCCTGTCAAGGTGTATTTTTCTGAGGGTGTTCCCCTTTGTCTTGTGGTTCTTGGGGCTGGTTCTACCCATGCTGAGCTGTGCGATACCTCCTGATCCTTACGTATTTGTACTTCATGCTGAGTTGGTTAAGTTCAATTACTTATTAATTACAGGGATTTCATAGCAGCAGGAATGCTTTGCTGCCAGTCTTTGCAGGCTGCAGTGTGTGAAGGACAACAGCGTGTGTTTGGGCCCAGCAGAGAAGATCTGTTCTGACTAGCCCATGGCTAGAGAGCTGGCCGTGCCCTGCAGAAAGCTTGCTCTTGGGATTTGGCTCTCTCCCGTGTGACCCAAATACTTGACGCTTTGATTTTTCTGTGCAGAAGAACCGTTCGGGGGGTGGATTCTGCACCTGGAGGATCTACTTGAAAGAACAGCATTTATTGACCAAGGGGAAATATTTCGCATGTGTTGCAAGGTGCTGAGCTGAAATCCTCCCTTGTGCCTGCTGTGGGGAAACACTTCAAATGCTCTCTTTGAAATTGGGGGTAGGTTTTGAGGCTGGCGCTGGAATCGGGGTTCAGCCCCCGGTGTCTCGGCCGGCGTGAGGCGAGGGCTCAACCTTCAGTCTGTCACCAAACCACGCAGCAGTGTCTGAAGGAGTTAAGACCTGCAGAGAAGGGCGGTTAATGAGAGGTCACGAGGGTGTTTGCTCTGGACCCCTGGCTTCCCCCTCCGCAGGGCAGGGAGCAACTGTGGCTGGAAGGATGGGGGATTTCCTCTTCCTTGATCTGCCTCTTCTTATCTCCCAGGAGAAACTGCTTTTAATTTGCCCATGTATCTTGTAGCGCTGCCAGGTTGGCTCTCACCCTTTTCCAATATCAGCCCTCGCTTTTGTTAACCTGGCTGCATAAATCGGCCTGAAAACACCGTGCGGTACCAGCCGTGTTTTGGCGGCGTGAAGTCCCTGTGTCTCTGCACGCTCTGCCAAGAGGACGCCCGTTCTCGGCGGGGCTATTAAAATCCAACTCCTGCAAGTAAATCTTAGCACGGTTGTGAGTTGGAGTAGAAAACAATAAACCGAGACTCCAAAAATAGCTCCGATTTCCCTTCCTTTCCCCAGCAGCACCCTGCGCACAATGGTGGGGGTGGGGTTCCCCGGGAGGCCCGGGGCCCATCCGCCGCCTCCCCGGCACGGGGGTGCTCTGCCCGCAGGACCCACGGCGGGCTCGGCAGGCGCGGGGAGCTGGCTGGAAGCCGGGCTGCGGGGCCGGAGCTGGGCGGCGGTGCTGCGGGAGGAGCTGCTGGTCTTCGCAGGTCTGGCGTCATGTCCGAGTGCCAAAAGCACGCGCAGGTTGGGTGTTCTCTGAACAGGCTCTTTATTTCCAGGCGGGACTTTGTTTCCACCTCCCGCAACTCCAAGGGAACTGCCCTGGGAGAGGGTTTTCTGGAGCAAGAGCCCGAGACACGAGATTCTTCCACTGCCTGGCCTTGGTGGCATTGCTGAGACTGCTGCTGCAGAGCGGTGGGGCATTTAGCCCGTGGTAACTTGTTCTCTGCGGGGTCTGGCACCCCCCGTCTTCCCCAGCTCCCTCGGGATGTGCGCGGGGGCTGGAAGACCCGGAGACCTCCCATCCCTGCGCGGCTGGGGGCTGCGGCCGCAGCAATGGGAGCGTGGTTTTCCTCTGCGAGGTGGAGCACAACCTGCTTCCCAGTCCTCATCCAAAACCAGAGGATGTTTCAGGTGTTGTTTGAAGGGTTTTTTTTAGTCTCGTGCCTGCTACCTGCTACAAAGTCCTTTCTTTCCATCCTTCGCTGCATCGCGCTCCCATATGGAGCATCTAGCTCAGACCTCTTGCTTTCAGCGGCTGGTTTTGCAACATAGCTATGGCCTGCTCTCTAATCTCCTTAGCTGGTTGTGTGTTTGTGGGTGTTGAGGGCATTGGAGACAGACAATGAAAGCTAATTTAGTTCTTGATTATCACCCTGAATGACAATCATAACTAATCTTGACAGGGAAGAAAACCCCACTAGCATTTTCTCTGCTTGCAGGGAAGCTCGCTCAAAAATAATTGAACAGATAAAGAAGGGATTTGTTCTCGATATTGTTGAACTGTGTGTGGTGGAAACGTGGTCTGATCTAGGTGTGATTTTGAGGATCGGGAGGTGCTGGACCAGAGTAGTCTCCATCACTTACTCCAGCATCAGAAACATCTCCAACGGTCACAGCACCTTCTGCTCTGAGGGAAGCCGTCGTACCCCTCGATACGGCTCTGGATGGAATAACCCCCACTGGAGATGGCTCCTTCCTAACCTCTCGGGGAGTGACCTGTGCCTGCTGTGCGGGGTAAAAGGCATTTCTCTCAGGAGATTAGACTCTTTATCTCTTCTTGGGCTAAAGTCTAATTTTCTCTATCCACGTGGGACAGAAAAAGCTGGTTCTGCTTTGGAAAAGTCTGGAACGGTCTGTAAAAAGGAGGCAGCAGCTGCGTGCTCTGCTTATTCTCAGCATTTTGCTGCTCGCACAGGGGGCGTGCTGCCAGAAAACCACCTTACAAAGTGATCGGCGGGCTTTACCTCGGCCAAAGTCTTTAAGGGTGTTTCTTGCTTTAACCTCAGACAACTTAAGAAGTGGATCGAATCAGTGTTGGAAACTTTATCTTACGCGCCTGGATGGTAAGGAGGTGGAACACGTGTGGGGAGGCACGGCCCCCTCGCCGCTTCAGCGGTGGGTGGTTTTTCTGCAGTTGCAGCCGTAGGAGCTCGGGAAACCTGCTGAGTTTGGCTCGCAGCCTGGCGAACCCAAAATCCCTCTGATCACCAGCTGATAGATGCCTTTCCTTCCCCCGCCTCTTAAGCACACCGTCTTCCCGGTAGTGCTCCTGAATTCACCCCAACTTTCCAGGCTCCATCCCTCGCTTTCCTGCGCACGTTTTCGGAGCACTTCACCGTGGGTCAGCATCGCTCCCCCTCTTATGAAGTGCAGGAGGGGGAGCGGATTCGCCTGGTTAAGGCTGCAGATTAGAACTGGGAATAGTTCGGATCTCCTGATTGCGCCTTTCAGCCTGTGCTTGGTGTGCTCAATGAGGCTGCTGTTAGCTGTTTGAGTGAAAACCTGCAAAGGTATCTCCTTTTTTTTCTTGGGAGATAACAGCAGTGGGTAAATGAAGAACCCTCGTGTGCTGGGTTTTCCATTAAGCGTACAATTAGATAAATGCAAGAGCCTTTCTATCTACCCTGGTTTAACACTTCTGCAGTATATTTAAACAGGACTCTGTGTGTGCCTAGGAATGGG